GTCAAAATCTTATGAATTACGGCTTTCAATTGTCAAAAATATACTAATAAAGTAAGGTTGGGTTGCGTAGCAATCTGATATCGCTTACCCCTTGTAAATCATAAAACTACCAAAAAGAAAATCAATCCACAAATGAAAATAATTCCAGAACTCTCGAGTAAAAAAATAAGAAATTATGCCAGAACTTTCCGGAAAAAAGGGAATATCACTACCGGAATAATTATTGATTTAACACCACGATCTAACCCACGATCTGCCCTCAAAGATTTGCAAAGTATCTGATGGTATTTCATAAGATCTTAGCCCTGGCTTCATTGTTAGAAAAAAGCATCAGTCATTATTACGAAAATAGCACATCTAGGTCTAAAAATAGGAGTACTGCGGGGCGCCAGGTCTCTTATCAATCAGAATATTAGCATCCTCCTTCGGTCAAGACCCGGGCGATCGTCGCAAAACATGGAACAAATATGGTAACTCTAATATCCATCCTCTGCTCATATTAAGAAAAAAAATAATCGATTAATAATCATGCCATAGCACTTTTGGCCTGGATTGCATGAGGTTAGTAGTGAACTTTCTGTGGTCTTGCGCCTATTATTTCTAGACAAATACTGTACTTATCAGTCAAATATCAGCGTATTTGCATCATCAAAAAGGAACCTGGTTATAAATTGTTTTACTTCGAATCCAAAAGGTCTATTATATTTTTCTGGAGACATTTCTAGAGATAATCCTTCTTCTGTATATTTCTTCTCAAGGATATCTAATAATTCTGACTCTTCCCATTTATCAACATCCCACTATGGGACAATATTTTTAGCTATCTGCTGAATATTATATTTGACTATTTCTTTTTCTTGTCCTTCGAGCATTCCATTATGAAGCATAAATCTTTCGATCTCTATTTGTTTTTTAGCTATTTCGATTTCCCTTTCAATAATTTCCTCTGTTTCTGCTTTCCAATATCCTAAATCATAGGGATATTCTGACATCTCTTCTTCTTCTTCAAATCCTAATTTATGATATTCTAATACTTGTATCTTC